AAACAATTATTTACAGGTATTTTAAAAAAAAAAAATGTATGTTAAATTTTACTAGCATTGTTGTTGCTAACATGTAAAACAAAATTAACCAGTGAATTTGAAAATAATTTTGGGACTATGTGATTTCTTAAAGAGGAAAGAAACTTAAATAAGATAACAAATTCTCAAATTCATCCAAATTTACATATTTAGTTCTGAATCCTAAACCCTCCAGACCTTAGAATGTAATGTTCATATGCTTTTTAATAGCATCATGTGCAATTTTTACAAAATGATAATTTAGTTAATATTTTTTAGTTTCACTATTCCAAAGTCTTTCTCAAAATTGTCAAAAAAAGTGCTGTGTAACACGTTGTCATTGTAATTATGAAAAGCAAAATCTGATTTGTTTTCCCCAAGACCAGAATGAGCATTAGTGAAGTAATTTCAATTGTATGTGATGATCACAATCAGTGGTTTTTTTCAAAGGATTTGACATTGTTTTTAATAATCCTTTGATAAGTAAATTGGCTTGTACTTACATTTTGATTATGACCACATTTTTCAAAATATTCAAAATAATTGGTTTATTGAACCTGCTTCTGAATTTGTTTTGTTCTGAAGACAAAAAGATGATAGTAAAATGGGGAAATTGTAAAAGCTCTTTTTGAGTGAGAAAAAACTAAATTTGTTAAGCAGTTGAATCTAAATGATGTAGCAGTTTGCCCCAAATTTATTGAGCAACAAAACAAAATGTTTCCTATTCTTTAAAGGCTTTTTTTGTGATAAAAGTCTTAATGCATAGTTGACCCTAATGAAAATATTCAAGAAAAGTTATCCCCCTTTGACCAGTGGAATGAAAAATAAGGTTTTTTTTGGGGGAGGGTCTTTTTTTTTTTTCACATCACCTTTTTGGAAGGACAAGGTATTCTGGGTACAGGGAGTTCAGCCATGACACCAAGGTAAGCTAGACTGATCTCTTATCATTACACATACAGCGGCTCCACTCGCCATTCAAATTGTATTTTAGTTAAAAAGTTTTTTAATAGTTTATCTTCTTGTTTCATTTTTTTATCTTTCTTCACATAACTACATTTCACACCCTGAGAACATAACAATAGCTGTCGTTGAAAAAACACATCCGTTATTATATAGCGAGAATACTGCAGAAACTTAATTTGATTGAAAAAGTTTAAAAAATTTTTAAAATTGTCAATGTCAAAGAAATATATGGAGATATTAATCCACTGAAAAAGGCAATATCTGATTTCTATAATGAACACCAGTTATTATTTTCTAATTATGGAAAATAATAATAATAAAAAAAACAATGGGAGGTAAGGAAGGTAAAAATTGTATTTACCAATGAAAATACAATCAATGGCTTAACTGATATTTGGAAATATTTGTAAGTAGTGGGTTTAATTTTGTTATGCTTGGGGAATTTACCAGATTATTTAAAAAATGAATTTGGAATATTAAGAAAAAGTTCTGGACATGCACATTTTATAACAGTTCAAAATGTTTGAAAATTTTCATATTGAAAAAAATAAACTATTTCTTAAATTTACTGTTGATGTCAAAGAATACGACTTTGATCCTGGTCATAATTGCTCAAAATACTGGATGAAATAAGTTGCCAAACATTTGATAACTTACCAAACGACTTTGAAACTAGGTTTTAGTTTTATTAAATGTCAGTTTCAATAACAAATATGTTACTTGAAAAGATTACTCACCAGAAGAGGAAATATTAAATATTACTAGTTTTTATTTTCAAGAATATGAATATTTTTTCAAAGAAATAGATTGCCGTAATTTAAAAATTCCACAGGGATAACAGATATCTTATTTTCAATTTACCCATATTTTAGATTTGTTTAATTGGTAAACATCCCAATTAATCACAATAATTAATTTTACGTTCTTATTAGTGTAAATTGATTTTAATTTGTAAAATTATGTTTGGTGAATTTATCACAGACTATTTAGAAAATGAATTTGGAATATTAAGGCAAAGTTCTGGAGGTGCATATTTTATAACAGTTCAAAATGTTATTGAAAAATTTCATATTGAAAAAAATAAACTAACTCTTAAATTCACTGTTGATGTCAAAGAATACAACTTTGATCCTGGTCATAACTGCTCAAAATGCTGGATGAAATAGGATACCAAACATTTGATAATTTACCAAACCTAAAAACTAGGATCCTTTAAGAGATTAAAATGTCACTTCCATATATAACAGGCTATGTTACAAGAAAAGATTGTGCAACAGAAGAGGAAATATCAAATATTACTAGTTTTTATTTTCAAGAATATGAACATTTTTTGGAAAGAAATTTAAAAATTCCACAGATTTTTATTTTTTTATTTTCAACCCCCCCTTCTTTTTAGATATATTTAATTGCTTAACTCCCCAAATTATCCTGTAAATTAATTTTTTGTATTGTTAATGTAAATTGATTTTAATTTGCAAAATTATATATCCTGGTAATATCTATTATTGTATTATCATGAAATAAGTATTTTTCTTCATCTTCTGCACAACAAATTGTACATGTAACAAAAATCACAAATTTTGTAAAGATTATATTGTTTTCTGAAAATTGCATTTTTTATAAAGTATTTCCAGTCTTTATTTCTGATTGTATTATACAATTATATTTCCTGTAATCAATTGGTATAAACAAATTTTCTGTAATATTTTTTGCAATAATCATATTTTTGCAACACCATTGAAATTGTCTAATTTATGATGAATAAAGTGATTTTTTGCACATTTATTTATTGTATTTTTATACTTTGTACATTTGCATTTATGGAGAGAATTCAATAATTGTAAGATGCTTCCTAATATTATATACTAACTAATTACTGGATATTTAGTGACAAGTTCCTTTCTAAAAATGTTCTCAGTAATAGTTATTTAGTAGTAATTTTTGTCTCCACATGTCTGCCCACAGTCACATGGCTGCCAGGCTTTGGTTAATAATTGCCTTGATGTTAGCCAAAAACCAAACTTTTCACCAGTAGTCTGGAGCCGTTTCTTAAGTCATATATATAAACAGACAGCCTGAGGCAGAGACAGAGAAACCAGTCAAACATGTCACATGAAGAAACTAAAGACTAAACTAAGACATTTTCCTGCCCTTAGAAGAGGGCCAAGAATACACCTTGATGCCACGCCTATTTCCATAGTTAAACACCCTCCTGACAACAGACAAGAAGATGACAACTACTACCAAAGTCTGACATGTAAACTATAAAATACCCAGCCAAACTTACACTTCCCCCAATTACAATGGACTCTCCAGTCAAATCATTCTATATAATTTGCTTATATTTTTGATTCTGTTTGTTTATTTCTAAAGTTTCCAATAAATAATACTAAGAACCTATGGCTCTTCTCCACATACTAAACCATCTGAGAATGATTAAAATTACGACCCTAGACTGAACCTAGGACAATGAAGAAAAGTGGGTTTAACTTATTTGGGAATTAAATTTAATTTCTTAAACAGATATCTTCTAAGAAATTAACCTATTCAGTATGCAATTCATTAATGAAGAAGTGCTGAAAAAATCATTAAAATCAATTTTTTTTTCACTAAAAGACTGCATAACATGACGAAAAACAGGTATTTTTTATTATTATAATTATCTTCCTTGTTATACAATTTTTAGCACTTTTTTTTTTTTTTTTTTTTTGTATGACACATTAATTTGTAAAATCTTGCAAAAATAAAAATAATTGTCGGATGTTAATAAAACTTTCAGAAACTATTCGCAGATGATGGACATATTTTTTTTTTTTTTTTTATTAAAGTCATGGCAGAAATATTTTGTTTTAAATTTATTACCCCCCACCCCCCCATAACTAATTTTATGAAAATGCTAGAAATTCGATCACGTCAGGTTTAGTGATTACAATAGTTAAAAGCACAAGGCTTTGAGGAATGCAAATCATGTTTTTTTTTTTTTGTTTTTAATTGGACCCCCTACCAGAAAATCAGCTCTAAATTGTAATATACAAAACTCAATAAAACAAAGATATTATTTAATTTCAAAATGTTTATTGCTATTATTAAGAGAAATGACCAGAGTAAGTTTTATTTATTTTTAAAATTTTTTTACTCCCTTCTAACATGTTCCATATTTTGGTTTAAAATCTTGTTTTTTTTTATGTGTCAATGGTGTAACAGAGCTATGAAAATTTTAGTGCTTTATTTCTGGTAAGATGACACATTGATTTGGAAATTCTTGCAAAAAGAAAATAATTGTTTGAAATTAATGAAACTTTCAGGACTTATTCACAAGTGAAGGAATTTATTTTTACCTCATTATTTTTTTAGAAAATCTTGGTAAAACTATTATTTTTACTTGTTAGTCCCACTTAATTTCATAAAATTTCTAGAAATTATATTCCATCCTCAAAATAGGTTTTTATTTAAAAGCAGAACTGCTTGCAAAATGGGAATCATTCGTTACTCAATTCCCAAAAATAAAAACTGTGATAAAACTATGACATTATTTAATTAGATAAGCTTTTAATTGCTTTTATAAATAATACATATTAAGGACATTATATGCTGAAGAAAATTTTTTTTCTATGAATAATGAATTTTTACATGAATTGTTTTAATTTTTTTTTTAATTGTAATAATTTATAAAGTTTCAAAGGGTTTTTTTTTAAAATTCTTCAAAACTTCCACCTTATTAGGTTTATTAATGTCTGTCTATATTTCTGAGATGACATTCCAACCACCTGAAGAAGGCCGGAGCGTACAACGGCCGAAACGTTGTAATAAATATGGCGACAAAGATGAGGACAATAGTCCGAATAATGTAAATAATGTAGGTTTATTAAGTTATTAAGTGAAGACTATATTTACTAAATGAAAATTAAAAAGTTTAATACAAATCATTGAGCACTAAGATTTTCAAAATAATTAAAAAAATTTTTGTGTGTTTAAAAATGTGCCCATTTTGAACATATTAGTGACCATACACGACATTATCAGAAAATAATATTAATGATCATGATGAATTTTTTGAAAATTTTTACGGTAAAGGGAGAACAAAAGACACTCATTGTGTTACTGGCCCTAAGAACCTGCTGATATTTTTTTTTAATGGACTGATTGGCCGGTAAAAGGTGAACCGCCCCCCCCCCTTTGAAGGGGAAGGGAGAACTGGGACTAGACCTTAGCAGCAGTTGAAAACGAGACCGCTGAGAGACAGGAGTTTTTCTTTCTCTCCCTGCTGAAAAGGCAGGCAGCGTTTGCCCATAAGTGAAGGATGCATGGGTAAGAAATTGTTGTGGGCAATTTTTCCCTTCAGAGAAATTTTTTGAGAAGTCCTCTCGAAGAAGCCTCAGAAAAGAAAGTTTGAAAAGAAGTCCGTAAGTGGAGTTTGGAGCCAAAGCCGTTTGAGAAGAAGACGAAGGAGCGAACACGTGCGTTTTCAAAAAGTATTTTACCACATGTTTAAGTAAATTTCCACATTCTAGCAGCCGTAAAAGAAAGGCGTAATATCCAGGCGGACGAGAGGAAAATAAGTGAAGAAAGAAGAGAGTTTGGTCACCATAAAGAGAACTTTCTCTACACAAGAGAGAAAAGATAAAAACTTTTGGACCTTGAAAGGACTGAAAGTGTACTGTAGAGCTATGGCTCTTCCCCATTGACACAGCAGGTGGACGCAATTCTTTTTTTTCTTTTTTGTGCATTGTAATTTTTAAGTTTCTGTTATGTTTTTTTACATTGTGTTACTCAGAGAATAGGTTATCTTATTCTCAGCAAAAAGGGACGAATTTTTGCAGGAACCCTTATTTAGCTGGTTAGAAATAAATAGAATATTTTTTCTTTGTAATTGAATCTGATTTGCACTTTTTTTTTCTTTTTCGTTATTAATTTGAGCAATAAAAAGGTTTTATTTTTTGAAAGAAAAGAAAATTTCCGAAAATTTAAACTAACCTTCTTAAAATTAGATGATGAAATATATTTCCAACATTTTTAAGATTACTGAAAAATTATATAAAAAAAATTGATCACCTGTCATTTCCTTAAATTATGTTTTAACAGATAAAGTCTCCACAGAACAACAATAAAACTGTCAACTCCTTCAGAAACACTTAAGTGATTTACGAACATTAACAAGTACTTAATAACCACTACTGTTTTAAAAATTAATTTTTCTCTTATTTTCAACTTAAATAATATTTGTTTCAAATCAGATTAATTACAGTTTAAATCCGCTAATATTCCTCAAATAAAGTTTCTGAGAAGTATTTTATTTTTGAAGATCTTTTAATAAATAAAATTACATTGTGATGAAAGACATCTAAAATCAGCTATTTTAGATAAAAGTAAAATTGTTTGCTTATTGAAAATATTTACAGTTCATCTATTAGTTTCAAATTAAAACTAAAATGAAAACTCCAAGAAGGATTTTAAAATTTTTTAAAATTCATTTTAAACCTTAGGTATTAGGTATTGCATTTTGAATGGATGTCCCTAATTTAGTTTGTATATAATTTGGTGTTACATGTGGAGAAATTGACTCTTTGGTCAGGCGGGAAAGGAGCAGTGTTACTTGTGTTGTTGAAATATTTATTAAAACAAAAGCTTGTTATTTTCTGTACTACTAACCTTTTCTAGTTACACAGTGGTCACGTGACATGCTTTCCCGAAGTTGCATAAAAAAGTGGATGAAATTCCTCTTTTTTTTATTATTATTATTATATTTAAGAAGGGCACCTCGAGGCGGTGTAATGGTTAGCAAGCTTGTCTCGCTAGAACAATTACAACTGAGTAGTGAGTTCGATCCTCACTGGGTGCTCCATACTTTCGGCCTTGTGCCACATCTAAGCTACGCTTAGAAAATCACTTTTGTCTTGTTATCAGACGGTTATGCGTCATAGAATAATAGTCGCAATATATTTCGCAACTCAAGGTAAGTGCTATATTGAATTATATTGCTTTTTCCCCCTTCAACCTGATGTTCGTTTGGGGAATCAGGAGCTATTTTTCTCGACAGCCATTAAGTCGTGGAAAACAGGACAAATTCATTTTTGAGAGAGCCGACACAAAACGTGACGGCGTTTATTAGATACAAGAAGAAAGAAAGTGAGAAAGGTTGGGGGTGACGTATCACGGAGCGAGAATCACGTTCCTTCACGTCGATTATGGAGCATATGGTAATGCGAAAAGGGAGTATTTAAACAGTAATGCATAAATGGCATGGTTTCAATAAAATTTGCATTTAAAAACATGCCATGTTACAGTGAAGATCCAGTTCGGGTGGCAGGCGCACCGAATCCTTGGCACCGACAGTTTCATTGGCCCTGATGTAAAATGTCATGCATCGACTTCTGAATCACTCTTCTTAATGCCATGAAATTTCAGGATTTTAAACATAAGGAACCAATTCTTGCTTAACACCGTTTATTTATTTTTTTCTCTCTGTTTTACTACATAATCATTCAGAATATTTTCTCAAAACTATTTTTCTTGTTTATATCGTGTTTTTCTATTTCTTTTGTCATTCGTTTTAACTTCAACATTAAACAAACAATCAATACAAAAATTGTGTAGATTGACACACAGAAATCCTGAGAAAATCATTTGAATTGAACACACACAAAAAAAAATCACCCTTTTCTGTTTTTCTGACTTAAAAAAAAGGTAAGTACAAAGAAGAAAAATAATTTTGTTTCTGTTAAAAAAAAAAAAAAGAAATCGTTATTTACTGACTAGCTTCACATTTTTTTTCTCATTCATTATGTCTTACAATTTTTTCTCTATCATTGTTAGCAAAATAAAAATAAATTCGGCTATGATTTCTTCATCATGTCAGGTATTTTGAAGAAATAACATTTTTAAACCGTACTAAAAGGAAATTAAATGGATTTTTTTTATTTCACTTTGAAATTTTTATTTTGTTTTTTAATTCGATCACTATGAGTTTGGATATGTCGATAAAAAAACAATCTCTTACTAAATTTGACTTCGTTTTTTTTTAGTTAAAAATGAAATGTGACCTTTTTAAAAATAAACGTGTTTTAGTTTACTCTCTAAAATTTAAAATCAGAAAGATTATAGAATACGAATGATTTGGCTTTGATGAAGTTAGAGAGAATTTGTTTTTTTCAAGTTCAAAATTATCCACGAAGTTTTAGTTTTTAATTTTTAAAATTTACTTTACTTTCAAAGTAAACAACCAGTTGCAAAATTATCCTTTTTAAATTTTTTATAGGATTTGTTTAATTAATACATTAAAATTTAAAATAACATTGAATCATTGAAGTTCAACAGAATATTTATCAGTTTTTCATAGAAACAAATTTTTGTTTGTTTGGCAATTGGATGGTTGATATTTCCATTTGATTTGTTTCAGTTCTATTTTGAAAAGTTTACTGTTGAAGTGTCGGATAACAAATTCTTATTCATCACTTGGCAAGAAAAAAACAGTTGATTGGTAGGCACATCCAAATAGCATGGTCAAAAAAGGGCTCTAACTTAAAAACGAAGTTTTATATCGTCAAAATATTTATGTTATTATTAAGAGGAAAAACCAAAGTATTTTTTGTTCTATTATTTTTTTTTTTTTTTTTTTTTAACCGTTTCTAGCACGTTCAAAATTTTGGTTAATGTGTCAACGGTGTAACAGAGCTGGTAATGGACATTTTCGCGCCAGTTTAATTTAGAAAGTCTTGCAAAAAATCATAAAATTATTGGGTTTTAATGAAACTTTCAAGACATATTTACAAATGAATTAATTCATTTTTTTAAATTATTATTTTTAGAAAAACTTGGTAATTTTTTTTTGTTTTTGTATCTGTTTAGTCATTTTATGAAATTTTTTATAATTTAAAATCGTCAACGAAATGTTTTTTATTAGTTAAAAATCTTGGTAAGAAGTATAATTTTTTTTTTTTTTTTTTTTCAATGTTACCCCTGACTCACTTAATTTAATGAAATTTCAAGGAATTAAATTTTTATTAGAATTTTTTTTTATTTGTTAATAGCAGAGCTCCTTGAAGAATTGTAAATCAACAGGTTTTTTTTTCAAATTACTTCTCATTTCCCCAAAATCTTTGATACTCTACAGTTGATACAGATTGATTTTATATCAGAATTTTCTTATTATTATTTGATTCATCTAATAATTGTCAGATTAAAATCACCATCTTGATTTATAAAACTTGTGTAAAAATCAAAAATACTTTATTGCTTGATATTTGAAATTTATTCTACATTCAGCCTTCTTTGATTTAAATTTAATTTTCACTTTACTTCAAGATGAACTTATTTCAATTATATATATTAAAGTATTATATAAGATGTGAACAGATTTCATGTATTTTTCACTGCCTCTGTTAAAATACATCTTACTTTTTCATCACAGGTGTATGGACAGAACAGAAAATCATTTTATACATAAAAACTGCTATTATTGAGAATTTAAATGAATGACGAGAAGAAGTTTCACTTTCCATCAAGAACAGAGAAATGTATGCTGCAATCATCATGGAAAAGATGTGTGTCTATATTTTCAAAAGCATTACATTAAGAAAACAGGTACATTGAAACATGTTGTTTATGTTGCGGGCAGAATCTTAGTGTTATATATGAGAGTGGAGTCATGTATTTAAGATTGCAAATTTTGTCATGATTTAAAATTAGTGTGCCATATGTAAAAAAAGCACTAGGAACCAGTCATATGCTTGTGAAGATTGTGGCTCTGTCTTTTCAGGCTAGTCATGTTCAAATTGCCATATGGAAACACACTTGTGTGAAAACTTGTGATGTTTGTGGATCTGCATTTTCACACAAGTATTTGATGTGCCAAATTAGAACACACAGAGGAGAAAAACCACATTCTTGTGATTTTTGTGATCTGCATTTTCAGAGAAGTTAGATTTGAAGCACCATATGCAAACATACACTGGTGAAAAACCATATTATTGTGAAAATTGTGGATCTTCATTTTCAGAGAAATCAAGTTTGAAGCACCATATAGGAACATACTGGTGAGAAACCTTATTGTGATGTTTGTGGATCTGCATTTTCTAACAAAACAAATTTGAAGCTCCATATGCAAACACATACTGCAGAAAAAACATATTGTGAAGTTTGTGGATCTTCATTTTCAATGAAGACACATTTGAAGATCCATATGCAAAAACATACTAAGGTAAAAGCATTTTCTTGTGAAGTTTGTGGATCTGCATTTTCAGAGAAGTCACGTTTGAATCGTCATATTCGAATACACACTGGGGAAAAACCATATTCTTGTGAAGTTTGTGGATCTTCATTTTCAGAGAAGTCACGTTTGAATTGTCATATTCGAACACACACTGGTGAAAAACCATATTCTTGTGAAATTTGTGGATCTTCATTTTCAGCCCAGTCAAGTTTAAAGCCCCATATGCAAACACATACTGGTGAGAAACCTTATTATTGTGAAGTTTGTGGCTCTGCATTTTCTAACAACTCTAATTTGAAACTCCATATGCGAACACATACTGGAGAAAAACCATATTCTTGTGAAGTTTGTGAATGTGCATTTTCAGACAAGTCTAGTTTGAAGCGCCATATGCGAACACATACTGGTGAGAAACCTTATTATTGTGATGTTTGTGGATCTGCATTTTCTAACAATTCAAATATGAAGCTCCATATGCGTACACATACTGGAGAAAAACCATATTCTTGTGAGGTTTGT